CTAAGTAGATTAGACAACCAACAAGTCCCCGATAGTCACATTTCTTCTAATTTTCTTGTTCTATGCTACCTTCTAAAGGACATTCTTCTTTCGTCAGTTTTTCGTTTCACCAAGAGGGGTTGTTATTGGTTTTGCTTCCGTCATTTTAATTCTTGATAACAACTTTTCAACATATTTTTCCTGAATTATCCTGATTTCGTTTTCTGAGTAATCAGTTTTCATTCCTAAGAACCATTTAAGATCTTTTATCTCGCTGATCTCAAATTTTTCAGTGATATTGTTTTCAAACCACCTACAGAAATTTTTGTCCGCTCAACAAACCACTATATAATCGACCAACAAGCAAATTAAACCCTCTATCTCTCCCTCAATCCTTCTAACAAACAAGCATTCATCGAAAACTGAATTTTTAAAACCTAACTCCTCAAGATAGCCTTCTAGAGTCCTTTGGCAGTTTCTACCGCACTGCTTTTGTCCATAAAGACTTTTCTTCAGAAGACAAACTAAAAATTTTCCTTCTTCGTATAGTTTGGCATTCAAGTATGCAGTTTAAATGTCTAACTGTCTCAACTCATACCTATTTTGAACTGCTAAGCTTAGAACTATTCTTATGGTCAACATCTTAGTTGTAGGCGATTACGTATCGTGACAATCCCTTCCCTCAACTTGGCTAAAATCTTTAGCAACAAATCTAGCCTTAAACCTAAAAACTTCACCATTAGGTTCGTTCTTCAAAGCAAAATGCCATCTGCTGCCTTTAGGCTTCTCTCCTCTATTTATAACTAGTTCACAAAGCTCGTTTTTTTTTCTCATGAATCAAACTCTTTTTTCATTGCTTCTCGCCAGTCAGGGTATACTGCGAGAACTTCTCCAAAAAGTACTACAATTTTTTTTCTTAAATTTCTATCTTTTTCTCAAATTAGAACTTTTATTCGTTAAAACTAACGTTTCTTGACTTCTGAACTTTGAGTTTTCCTTCATTCTCAATTCCTATCAGACAAGCTTTACTATTTCCGATGTCCCCAAGAAAATTCTCAGAATTTTTGTCTAGTTTTTGCGAAACGTTTTTCCCGCAAAACTATACAGTACACTTCCAACAAAAGTTTTCACAAAATTAAGGTTGGGTTTTTCTCGATTTATAGACTCGTAGCATGTTGCTCATAGCAGAATGAAAGCTCATGTTTTTGAGATTGGTAGCCATATTAAAATCATAAGGCTAATAAGTATTCGCTAAATTGGCATCAAAAATCATGCAGTGAGCCATTTGAGTAATCGTTCCTTACCCCCTTTCTATCTTTCCGTTCGTGCTCTTGAGGGGTATATGGAGCCGAAGTTTCCAGTCTAATTTTCTGTTTCTTACAAACTCGCCAAAATTCCTGACCAATATACTCTCCTACGCTATCTGAAACTAAAAGTCTGAGGGATTCCTATATCTGCTATGAACATCTCCATTTTTCTGTTGCCTCATCTCTCGTCTTCTTGAAATAAATTTTTAGATATCTAGAAAAACTGTCCACAAAACCTAAAGCATATCTATGTCCATCCTCTGCTATCGGGTCGATAGGACCTAAACTATCTGTGTGAACAACATCTAGCGTCCTGGTTGCCCTGATGTAACAGTCTTTCGGGACTGGCTTCTTTTTTGCTTTATTCAACTCACAAGTTTCAAAATTGTCAATTTTACAATCACTTATCTTCATGCCTTCAACATGTTGCGACAAATGACTTAAGACATTGTAGTTATTGTGACCCATCCTACAATGCCACTGTTTCAATGAGCTAAGTATATAACCTTCGTCTTTTCGTACAAAAGCGTCCCACAAAAAGAGACCACTTTCCTCTCTTAATTGGTAAACTGAACCATTTCTCTGACGAACAAACGAGCTCGCACCAAAAACAACTTCTTCACCCGCTTTCTTTATTTTTGATATACTTCTCAAATTTGAATTTTCAGGAATAAACAAAGTATCCTTCAACTCAATCATTTTAAATTTGCCTTTCTCGTCTTTCACTCTGAATCTAACTTCACCTTTGCCTAAAAGTTTCGACTCAGAAATTTGCATTGCTAACTGACCCTTTGAAGTTCTCATGTAAACTAAAAAAACATCTCTCGATCCTCAATCGTTTTACTGGTGGCTCCAGAGTCTAAGACTAAGTCCTCGACCGGAGACACTATCATTAGAAATTTAAAATGAACCTCTGTTTCAGCTGCTAGGTTCTGCTTTTCTCGTTTAGTCTTACTAATACTTTTTTTTTGCTTGGAAAAACTCCTGACTTACATAACATTGAATGAGCTTTGTTTTCACTATCTCGTCTGCTGCCTTAGTTTTCTCTGCACTGTTTCGACACATGTCCTCTTTAATGACATTAAAACTAACTCTGTTCTCGCTCTTTTTCACTGACTTGTCTCTTGCTATCGAAATTCACTAATTCTCTTTTAACTCATCTAACCTTTTCTCATCTCTACTAAACTTGGATATAGTAAAAAAAAGTTTCAAATTGTTTTGGAAGTCCTTTCAAAATAATTGAAATTAAAATTTTTTCACTCACTCTTTCGTTCACTTATTATAAGTTATACTGAATCTGCTCTGCTCTACTCAAATATTCTATCACTTTCTCATTGCTGTTCTTTTTCAAAGTTGTTATTTCGGAGATTAGTTTTTCCAGTCTGGGTCTTTCAAAACTCTTAAACCTCTTAAACCGATTTCTTATCTAGAGCCTGCATAAGTTCGTACCAGATGTGCAACTGTTTTTACTAATAAATCTCTTTTTTCTATTGCAGCTTGTTTTCGATCACTGCTTGCATTCGGTCTTAACCTCGGCTCAAAACTTCTGTAATCAACGACTCATCTAAAATTTTGTCTAATTTCAAGTGAAATTTTCGTGCCTCGAATTGCTCTTCAAAGTAGGAAAAATACTCTTCTTTTCCCGAAAAAATATCGTTTCAGTTTTGGCTTTTTTTAATCCAAGTTCTTATTTCCTACTTAAGTCTTACCCGAAGATTAAGCTTCATTCAAAATTCACAAAGCTAGGTATTGCCCTAGGTAAAATTCATTGTCCCCGTTTTCTCTTACATCAAAATCATATGTTATAATCATTCATATCGCCCGCATTTATAATTCTGCAAGTATATTTGATTAATATATGTGATTCGGAACCTTATGGTCTGCGTACCGAATAACATATCAGCAAATTAGCAAAGCTAAGGTCCCTCCTCAGATTTCATACTAGTTAATGAACATATATATATATATATATATATATAAAGCAATATAGTAGTTCGTCTTTTTATTCTGGGGTATCAGTTTCTTTTCTTTTTCTAGGCCATCTATTTTTGCACTCCTCTATCTGATCAATCGTCTATCTCCAATTAGCGTTGGCATGCTTCTATTCTCGCAGTTCTCTATCGGATCAGTTGTCTGTTTGAAATTGTGTTTTTTCACTGTCACGCCTCCCTTGCAAATCTGTTTTTTCTTATTCGTTTGAACAAACAGTCAATCTTGACTCCTGACTTCTCACTCGTGATTGGGCATCTGGGTCCATAACCGATCAAGGTTATCACAGCGACAAACGGTTGATTCAAAAGGAGTGAATTAATGACATTTGAGTGATAGTGCTTGTAGTAATTCGGATCAAATATATATGACGAATCATCCGCACAAGTTTGCTCGAACGAATGACTTAAGGTCATGTTTCACCAGCTAGTTTTAACAAAAATCGGGAAGTGATCTTCGAGTTTGAACCGAATAAGAAAGATCAATTCCAGTTCAGTTACGATAAATCACCAATAGTTCTGTCTCGTGTCTGGTCCAGTGTTATTGTTCTTCGACGAGATAAGTAGGATATGCCATTAGTTTGGATTACTTGTACGTCGTTTTAACACTGGATTTGTCGCAATTTTGTTTTGCTGTTGTGAAGTCAAGCTTAAAAGTTCTTTCAACAGAGATAAGTTCTCCCGCTCCTTCGTGCTATGTGAGCTGAAGATGTTCAGCTAAATGAAAACGGTCAGTCCATAGACCGAGGATACCGATATTTGTTTGTCTGCCTGGGCAGTTGAATAAGTGGTGCGTGTCATGCGGCCCTAGATTGCAAACATTGCATGTATTAGGGCGAATCCTGTGTAGGTAGCTATTCAGGATGGTTGAGTATCGGGAGTAGAGTTGTGCAAGTGTGCACCTAGCCTCATGTGATTTTTTTTCTTCGAAGTTCACTTCAGGAGTGTCCTTACCCCAAAGTTGACTGTGGTGATTCTCAGTAAATTCTTTTACATTTTTAATATGCAGATGTTTGAGGCCAATTTTGTTTTGATTAATTATAAGAACTGAATCAGTTGGCAGTAGTAAGAGAACTTCTTGCTCGTATTTCGTTTTCGGTGTTGCTATCAGCATGGGTCTGCAAGATCAGTTTGCGTCATATTATAAGGTTCGATGGTCTGCACGTTCCGGAAGATGGCTTTCGATGAAGAAATATTTGGCAATCATTTCATTATGCACTCGAACATCGAAAATTCAGTTTCATCGTGTAACTGATCTTTTTTTTTGTCATTTTAACACAGTCGGTAGTTGTTCTAAGTGCATTTTTTTGTTTTACCTGAAGTTTTGTCCTGTTGGTGTTGCTTAAACTTGGAGACCATATGGGGGCGGCAGAGTTACTCGCGTACGACTGATTGATTTATAGCTGATGGCTAGTGTTGTCGGCTAGAATTGATCTTTCTTGAACCGAATAAGAAAGATCAATTCCAGTTCAGTTACGATAAATCACCAATAGTTCTGTCTCGTGTCTGGTCCAGTGTTATTGTTCTTCGACGAGATAAGTAGGATATGCCATTAGTTTGGATTACTTGTACTTCGTTTTAACACTGGATTTGTCGCAATTTTGTTTTGCTGTTGTGAAGTCAAGCTTAAAAGTTCTTTCAACAGAGATAAGTTCTCCCGCTCCTTCGTGCTATGTGAGCTGAAGATCAATATGTCATTAAGTAAGTAACGATAAACAAGTTTCAGGTCAGCTAGTAGCCAGTTGAGAGAGTCGATCTCGTTGGACAACTACCTGGATCCGAATCTACTTCGCAGTTTGGAAGAGGTGCACCGGAAATATGAGAGCACAAAAGCAGATTTGAGTGCCGTGCTGAGCGGGAATGAGAGTTCACTCCTGACTAACCAGCTGCACATGTGCAATAACAACCTGCTGTCTGATGTAGCTTCTCAATTCACCCAGTTCAGGTTTTGCGCCTAGTTTTTTTTACTTTCTACCAAAGTGTAGTGTCTCGCATTGTGACCCAGATACGACAGAGGAAGAACAGTTATAAAATACAGTCTACTTTTTCGAATTCAACCAAGTTTTCGGCATCCTGTTAGACTAAGAGGTTTTGTGAGTCTTTTTGGCCTAAAGTTGAGGTGACACCCGAATTTTTAAACAAAACAGATGCTGAAACAGACGTTAGTGAAAATTTAGCTGATGCATGTTTCAGTGAACTGATTGGTAAGATGCAGAATGATGGCACAACCGACAATTCAGGGGCACCAGAACAGAAGAGCCAGTCGGGCGGCCAGCAGTCAGAGCCAGAAGTGAGTGTGGAGAAGGCGGTGAAGTTGAGGGCCATGTCCTCGCAAGTCTCACTTCCCAGACACTTCACCAGCATCATCAAAGATGAGCCCAGTTCACAGTCCACAACTGAGAGTAATCCTGAACCCATACCCCGCGAAGAAGCAGAAGCAGAAACCAGCTCCTCATCAACACAAATAGACGACAGCTATGCTGCAAATGAACTGTTTGCTGCTATCGGGTGCAAGGAGAAAAAGTTGCATTTTTCAACAAGTTACAAGAAAAGAACACGATCAATTATGTCAAATCCGATTTCAACCGAAAATTTTATAGAAGGCGCCATTTCACTTCAGAATTCAGGAGAGCTACCATATATAAAAAACAGTGTCAAGGCCCACGAAAAAACGGATGCCAAATTCAAATGAATCAGTTTTTAGTTATTGTCACTAGCAATCAGAAAACTGAAATAAATTGATTGTTAAATAAATTGAAGTGAGGTTTGCTTAGTAAATTCGTAATTTTGCCCATGAACTTTGTTTACAGTTTAAATTTGTTGTTGAAACTTGAAAAAGTACAGATGGTTTCTTTTTCACTCGATTGACGAGTTCGCCCGTCTATAGATATTTTTGGTGCATTTCAATTAGTTAAGGTTTTAAAAACCTATTTTAAGTTTTTGTGGTCTAATGTTTTCAGTTTAATTTAAATTTCTAAGCGTAATTGAACGAAGTCAAGACACTTATTTTGTTGATGTCTACCAAGAAAAGTGCTTTTTGCTTTTTTCAGTGGAAAGGCTTTTTTTTCTAGAAAAGTTTGATATTGAGTTTTGCAGATTGACTGTTGGTTCATTTCTCAGTTCAAACTGTTTGCAAATAACAAGAAAATTTAAGATCTTACAATACTGCAAATGGAGAAAAAAGTGTGGATGAGTTTGAGGTTTGAATTTTATTTCTCAGGTTTCTCAGCGGAACAAAAATGCAAATTTAAGATCTTACAATACTGCAAATGGAGAAAAAAGTGTGGATGAGTTTGAGGTTTGAATTTTATTTCTCAGGTTTCTCAGCGGAACAAAAATACAAATTTAAGATCTTACAATACTGCAAATGGAGAAAAAAGTGTGGATGAGTTTGAGGTTTGAATTTTATTTCTCAGGTTTCTCAGCGGAACAAAAATACAATTTTAAGATCTTACAATACTGCAAATGGAGAAAAAAGTGTGGATGAGTTTGAGGTTTGAATTTTATTTCTCAGGTTTCTCAGCGGAACAAAAATACAAATTTAAGATCTTACAATACTGCAAATGGAGAAAAAAGTGTGGATGAATTTGAGGTTTGAATTTTATTTCTCAGCGGAACAAAAATACAAATTTAAGATCTTACAATACTGCAAATGGAGAAAAAAGTGTGGATGAGTTTGAGGTTTGAATTTTATTTCTCAGGTTTCTCAGCGGAACAAAAATACAAATTTAAGATCTTACAATACTGCAAATGGAGAAAAAAGTGTGGATGAGTTTGAGGTTTGAATTTTATTTCTCAGGTTTCTCAGCGGAACAAAAATGCAAATTTAAGATCTTACAATACTGCAAATGGAGAAAAAAGTGTGGATGAGTTTGAGGTTTGAATTTTATTTCTCAGGTTTCTCAGCGGAACAAAAATACAAATTTAAGATCTTACAATACTGCAAATGGAGAAAAAAGTGTGGATGAGTTTGAGGTTTGAATTTTATTTCTCAGGTTTCTCAGCGGAACAAAAGTACAAATTTAAGATCTTACAATACTGCAATTGGAGAAAAAAAGTGTGGATGAGTTTGAGGTTTGAATTTTATTTCTCAGGTTTCTCAGCGGAACAAAAGTACAAATTTAAGATCTTGCAATACTGCAAATGGAGAAAAAAGTTTGGATGAGTTTGAGGTTTGAATTTTATTTCTCAGGTTTCTCAGCGGAACAAAAATACAAATTTAAGATCTTACAATACTGCAATTGGAGAAAAAAAGTGTGGATGAATTTGAGGTTTGAATTTTATTTCTCAGCGGAACAAAAATACAAATTTAAGATCTTACAATACTGCAAATGGAGAAAAAAGTGTGGATGAGTTTGAGGTTTGAATTTTATTTCTCAGGTTTCTCAGCGGAACAAAAATACAAATTTAAGATCTTACAATACTGCAAATGGAGAAAAAAGTGTGGATGAGTTTGAGGTTTGAATTTTATTTCTCAGGTTTCTCAGCGGAACAAAAATGCAAATTTAAGATCTTACAATACTGCAAATGGAGAAAAAAGTGTGGATGAGTTTGAGGTTTGAATTTTATTTCTCAGGTTTCTCAGCGGAACAAAAATACAAATTTAAGATCTTACAATACTGCAAATGGAGATAAAAGTGTGGATGAGTTTGAGGTTTGAATTTTATTTCTCAGGTTTCTCAGCGGAACAAAAATACAAATTTAAGATCTTACAATACTGCAATTGGAGAAAAAAAGTGTGGATGAGTTTGAGGTTTGAATTTTATTTCTCAGGTTTCTCAGCGGAACAAAAGTACAAATTTAAGATCTTGCAATACTGCAAATGGAGAAAAAAGTTTGGATGAGTTTGAGGTTTGAATTTTATTTCTCAGGTTTCTCAGCGGAACAAAAATACAAATTTAAGATCTTACAATACTGCAAATGGAGAAAAAAGTGTGGATGAGTTTGAGGTTTGAATTTTATTTCTCAGGTTTCTCAGCGGAACAAAAGTACAAATTTAAGATCTTACAATACTGCAAATGGAGAAAAAAAATGTGTGGATGAGTTTGAGGTTTGAATTTTATTTCTCAGGTTTCTCAGCGGAACAAAAATACAAATTTAAGATCTTACAATACTGCAAATGGAGAAAAAAGTGTGCATGAGTTTGAGGTTTGAATTTTATTTCTCAGGTTTCTCAGCGGAACAAAAATACAAATTTAAGATCTTACAATACTGCAAATGGAGAAAAAAGTGTGGATGAGTTTGAGGTTTGAATTTTATTTCTCAGGTTTCTCAGCGGAACAAAAATACTTGTTTGCCCAGTGTTCTCAAAGTTAAAAATTGTGTACGATGAGGGCAATTAAAAAATAATTTTGAAATAAAAATTGTTCTGCGATGAGCAAGAAAGAGCGTTGCAAGTGGGTTAAATCTATTATATATTTAAATGCGGGCTTCACTATCTCGCCATGTTTAAGCTTTTTCAACGTATTATTTTTGCATGTTTAAAAGAATTTTGCTCGCTTAAGCTATATCGTATATTGCAATGGATAAGATTTTTTTCCAGTTTAAATTCACTGTTTGTGTCATCAAGTTAGAAATTAGCAATCCAACAGTGGGATGCTCTCATGGTTTTCCCAGCTTCTGCGATGCTGCTCTCCCTATATGAATAACCAAGTCCTTTTAGTTTCCGAGATACGACAATTTTCCAGATTTTACTTTTAGTTTCCATTTAGATTTTCCTTTTAATTTTCCTTCAAGTTTCCGAGATACGAGGTTTTTCAAAATGACGTTTTTTGTGATTTTTTCAAAAAAATTTTCAGAAAACTGATTTTAAAAAAAAAAAATTGAAGTTCCCAGGTCTGAAGTGGGGGCTGTCACAGTATTCTCAGATATTCAGGGGTTGTGAATCGTTCCTCCAAATATGGGTGCTCAAATCTTGTTGGTCTTCCAGATATGACGTTTTTTGTGATTTTTTCAAAAATTTTCAGAAAACTTAAATTGAAATTTAACCTGTAGTTGGAAGCCGTCAGATTAATCTCAAGGGTTGCGATTTTTGTATTTAATTAAGAATGCCCAAATCTTTTTAGTTTACGAGATACGACGATTTTTGTGATTTTTTCAGAAAACTCAAATTACAACATAGTTCGCGAAATTGAAATTCCCAACCCTGTAGTTAAGCGCTGTCAGATTACTGTCAAGGATTGCGAATATTGTTTCCAAATAAGACTGCTCAAATCTTGGTAGTTTTCGAGATGTGACGTTTTATCTGGTTTTCACAAAAAAATATCTTTTAGAAAACTTTGAATTTCCCATTGTTGTAGTTGGGTACTGTAAGAGTACTCTCAGGAGTTGCAAACCTTGCGTCCAAATGCGACTGCTCAATTGCATTTATTTTCCGAGATGTGACATTTCTTGGTTCATTTTAAATTTTTCCAAAGAATTTTCACAAAATGTTGTTTTTTTTCAAGTTTGTATTAAAAAAACTTGATTAAAAACTTTGTAATTATGCGCAAAATTTGTAATTATGCACCCTGTAATTCGGTGCCGTCAGAGTACACTCTAAGGATGCAGACTTTTTCCAATTTTTGCGGTTTTTTATGAGTTGTTAAACGTTCGAAGCACTGGAGGTGCGTTGCACGCTAGTATTTTTTATTAGCTAGTTGACTAGGTTGATAAATTTTTTTATAGCTTTACTTCAAGTGCAAGCTGCCACAGGGAAAATGAAATTAATCCAATGCCTATTCAAATGACATGGTTGTGCAAAGCAATTTAGTTTTGTGCTTATTTTTTCACTTTGTCCGATTTTGTTGGAAAAGAAACCTGAGAAGATTCATAAATTTTGAATTGCGTCGGAAAAAAGTTTCCTGAAAATTGTTTCCAAGAGACTTTCATTCTGAATCAACTGATTCTGATTCACAAAGTCAAGCGCGTTTAAAATCCTGTCTGATAAAACAAGTATTATGAAATTGTAAGGGATTTAGGAAATGTATAAAAAAACGGTTTTACTGATTTTCAAAAAAAGCAATACCAATAGAAAGACAGCCCTCTCACGTGTGTGCCTGCCTATTCTATTCTTCTATTTTTATTTTTGCGTTTTTTTCAGAAGCATTCAAAAAATCTATGGGGGTAAATTTTAACCAATGTTTTTGAGATTTTTCTAATTTCTCGAAAATTCCCCCCCCCCCCCAAATATGAAATTTTGGGTTCAATCGAAAGAACGGGTCGAAGAAAACCTCCCTATAAAAGCGACTAAGCCCGAAGTTTTGTTTTAAAAAATCATGGAGTTTCCAAACAGGCAAATTGTTTGACGGTTTTTTGGAAACTTTTTGCAAAAACTATCCTGCCAATATCAATATTATTAGTTCAATCGGAATATGTTTGAGGTTTTCTATGTTGCGTAAGCCGCTATAATTTTTTTCGTAAAGTGTTAAAGCTTTTGGGAAAGTCTAATTTGTTTATTTTAGTGAACTTTTTTGGAAACTTTTTGACTTTTCTTAAAAACTACCCTACCAAATCTAAGATAAAGGGCTCGACTGAAACAATAGGTTACAAAAATATTTTTCTCACAGAAGCGGCAAATAATTATTTTTATGTGAGTAGAAAAGTGCTATGTGTTTCGGAAAAGTCCAATTTCAGAACTTTTACCTTAATTGTAAACTTTTTCACTTCTCGAAAAATACCCCGCCGAATCTGATATTTAGAGTTCATTCGAAAAATCAGGTTATGAGAAATTTCTATGGCTAGGGGTTCATTGGAAATTTTTACGTAGGATTTTTCCCTATAGCAGCAGCTTCGTCCTAAGTTCTGTAGTTAAACTGTTATGAACTTAGGAAAAGCAAAATTTTGAAACATCGAGCGCTTTTTATGGCAGCGTGTTTCTCAAACAAGTTATTTCAAAGAAGTTTTTTCGACTTAGTTATTTCTGTTTAGTTTTTTTTTTGTAACTTGCAATGCTAGGCTTTCGTTGTATTGAATTTATGCAAAGATCCGATTTACCTTTGTGTATTAATTGTTTTTTTTTGTTCCCAGAACTTTTGCTGTTGTTATCAGTTATAACTACGCTTTGAGACACAATCAGAGATAATCCATCATACTCCACTGTGTTCAAGAGTAATGAACGCAGTGAAGACTCTTATATAGGTCTTGCTGATTTTTTTTTGTTTTGCCTCAGGAAAACGTCGCAAAATGTGAATAAAAATCTCTTATAACTACAGATGTACAACATTCATATTAGAGGAGGGGAGCACATGTTGGAAAAGGTAAGTGAAAAGCCTCAAAACTTATGAAAGTAATAAGATGTGTTATAGAAAGTAGAAAAAAAATCCCATTTTTTTAAACATTGAATTTCTATTTGAATTCTCAACTACTGTTTTACAAAAGAAAATGAGCTGAAACTGAATTTTTTTTTGCAAATGTCTGAATAATTTTCGAAAAAAAGTTATGATCCCTTAAAAGTGAGTAAAATTAGGTTCGTTGCTTCGAAAATAGTAGGATTTTAATCCATGGTAAATAATTTGAAATCGGTTATTTTAAAGTCTTTTGTAATTGAAAATAAATTGACAATATCCTTTAGTTTAAGGAATGCTGGTGCGGGTAGGGTTATTACCAGTTTTAAAATTTCCTAATGTGCTATTTGTTTTGCTTGATCAATGAGAATTGACTTCTGCTAAACTGTTCTGATTTTCTGCCAATCGATGTTTCATAAATCCTGTGTTATCATGCTTGCAATAAAACAAAAAAAATGTTTTCAATTTTTTGACTACTCGTCAGTTTTCAAAAGTCTTTTTCGCTGTTTCCTTTCATTGACTTCTGATTTTGCTGATGCTGGAAATTGATTCTGAAAATTTTTACCGAAACTTGGTAGGTTTTGAATAAAGAATGCGCGGTCGTTGACAAAACTAAATTGGAGCACCATATCAGGACACAACCCTTAAGGACACAGCATCGCATTAAAACCCATAAGTGAAAGTTGATAAACTAAAAATATTGTTAAGTTTTGAACGAAAGTGGATTTCCCAAAAATCTTCCCTGTACACACGGACGAAGTTATCTTCTAGAGAAACTCCACTCCTATAAACAAAAATAATAAATTAACACTAGAACTGTCCATTGAGAATTCTATTGTCGCTGCTTTCTGATTGGCCGAAATTTCGACTTATCTTCCTAACAAATTGCCTGTATTTTTTTATAGGAAGAATTTGCTCAATAGATCCAAAATCTCTTTTGTTTTGATACCAAGACATCAATAATTCTCAGATGATTGCAAAAATCTTGGTCAAAAGTTGCTGTTAAAAGACACAGATGTTGTCTGAAGAAAAAGGAAGAAAAAAATCCGAGTGCAATTATTCCGTCCCTTGTTTTCCCATTTGTAGGAACAATTGTCATTGACTGTAAGTAAAACAAAAGTTTAATAGCTTTGGTACAAGACTTATTTACCGTCAATAATTTTGGACACAGGTCAAATTTAGACATGGTAAATTTAGGTTCAGTTTTGACAATTGACCACGAGTTAACGAATACGCCTGGAACGGCAAAGGTCCTGCGTTTAAATCTAAACGGATCTTTCGTTTTTTCAAACGGAAAATTTTCCGTTTCACAAAAAAATTGTCGGCTCATTATTTGTCTGCTTATGTTTTGTAGGCTTAGTTGTTACTTTGTACAATTGTTTTTTTTTAGTTTTTTAAATTTTATGGTAGCTTTTAGTGTTCTGATTTTCCTTTGATGTTTGTAATTTTACTAGTGTTGACTTTTTATGTTTCTTTTTTTTTTCGCTTAAAAGTTTTTTTAAGCGGCCTAGCGACTATTTTTTATCGGCCTTGGACCTTATTTGGAATCGTTAAAAAAATTCAAAATTTTTATGCTCACCTCCGGGTTGCACAAAATGCTGAAAATTTTAATGGATGTTCTAACTCATTTTTTTCATGACCGCATTTATTCGGCTTTTTGATGGGTTTTGGCCTACATTATATCGCTTCAATGGCCATATTGCGTCTTTCGGAGAGCGAAAAAAACATATTGCATTTTTGTGTGTGCTTGTTTGTGTTTTGATGGGAGGGGGAATTATTTACTAAGTTTTGTTGATTTTTCTCTCGGATGAAAGGGTTTCTGCCAAAGTTTTTTTCGGCCTGATTAGAAATTTTTCTTCCGATGCGTATTTCACCTTTCATTGTCATTGCATGTTTTCTTTTTGAAAACTAGCCTCTTTTATTATATAGTTTTTTCGATATTTTTGATGTTTTTTCGATTTTTCTGACTTACCTAGTTTCTTGTTTTGTATCGCAAGTGGTGCAAATCTCAGATTTGCCTTTTTGTCAAAACACCATTTTCAAGCATTTATAATTGGTTTTTTAAAAGTTTAATACATATGAATATAAGTTGAGAACAAGGTTGCCTATTGCTTAAAGAACGCTGGTGCTGGTAGGTTCATCGCCCGTTTTAAAATAAAATATGATCTTTTGTTTGATCAATGAGAATTGCTTTCTGCTAAGCTATTTTACTTTTGTACCAATCGATGTTCCATTGGTACTGTGGTATAATGCTCGAAATAAAACGAAAAAGTGTGTTATAATTTTTTACTAAGCAGTTTTCAAAAATTCTTTTTGTTGTTTACTTCTGGTACACTTTGATTTTGTCGATGCTAGAAATTGCATCTAAAATTTTTCAGTGATAGTTTTTTGAAATTAGAAGTTTTGAACAAAGAACGCGTTGTCGATAACAATGCAAAACTAGAAATTTCATTGCAGTACACAGTCCCCCATCTTCAGACGTCGCCCTAAAGCCTATAAATGAAAATTAAAAACTAAATAGATAGACAAAATTCAAAGGAAAATGGGTTTTGGGTTTTTTTACCCACAAATCTTCCCTGTACATACGGACGAAGTGTAAGTTTTTGTCTATTCACGCAATGAAATGATCAAACAGCTTGCGCAATTTAATCATGTAACCGTTCAAAACGGTATGAAATTGCGGCTTAAGCGTTGATAGCACAAAATTTAGCTCACGTAAATCATCTTCAATTGATATTTTCAAACACCTGCAGCTTTACAAAAAACAAACAGGTGAAATATTCGAATCAACCTAACAATCTTCTTCTCCCCCGTATGTTCTCTTCTAGAGAAACTCCACTCCTATAAACAAAAATAATAAATTAACACTAGAACTGTCCATTGAGAATTTTATTTTTGCTGCATTCTGATTGGTCGAAGTTTAGACTAGTCTAAATAATAACTTTCCCCCATTCTTTCTTGAAAGAAGAGGTCATTAGATCGATTATCTCATTTGTCTTGATACCAAGAATTTCCGTTTTGTCCTCTTGTGATCATGGAAGCTGACTTGTTGACGAAAGCCCTGAGCAAGGCTAAGGTGAACCAGCATCGTCGAGCCTTGATGGGTTGCAGCGTGACATTGGACAAAGCCAATTCAGCCTGAGTTGCGGTGTTGAGGTCGGACCATCTCAAGGTCAGACAGATTAGTTGAAGCGAATCAGTTTGGAGGTTAAAACTGATTAAACTCAGACAAGGTCAACTAAGGATCACAAACTTATTAATTAGTCAGTAATTAATTATTTGGTACTTTTGTGTGATGCTCAGTTTGTCATGTCATTTATATTCGCTTTCTCAATTCTTACTTCAACAAACCGTTGAAACCTCAGGTTCCATCTCAGTCTACAACCCCAACCCTTAATCCTAGTTGCTCGAACTCTGAATCTTAACAGAGAGAAGTTTATTTGCCATAATTGAATTGTTGCTAGGAGCGAAATTTATCATTTTTTACTTAATATGTTGTGTGAGGTGATGATTTTTACAAAAAAAACTCAATTTTAATATATTTTTTAAATTTTTATTTTATTACATTTAATTTTTTCTCATGTTATTACTGCTCCATAGACCTTAAAAGGCAGTTGGAAAATTCAGGGCTTCGCTCTGATACAATCAGTCTTGTTTATATTTCTACTTAAATTTGTGAACAAAAAATTTCGAGATGGTACTGAAATTTGATTGGCGAATTCTAGCCAATCAGATTGAAGCAAAATAATTGCTTGTTTTTTCAGGTATTCAACCACCTGTCAACCCAAAGTGTCCCCCTTTTGAGATATTCTTTTTTGGCCGACTGACCTTAAAATTTTTCTAAAGGCGCCTTTTTGCCAACTGATCTTGAGTTGCCAACTCTCGAGAAAATCCTAGATCCGCTCAGAATATTGGAAAAACGAAGCGGTGCAAACTATAGCGCATCATGAAAAAAGTGGCCACAACCTTGAAGAAGAGAGCAAAATGCGACAAATTAAAAACTCATATTAGGATTTGCTTCAACAATGACTTAATTCTTGAAAAGAAGAAACAGAATATATTGATTGAATGACGGAATGAATTAATGTTCGTTGGAACTTGCCCTCCACAACTCGTAGAACAAGTTGTTCTTCTGTTCCAGGAAGTCTTTCGGGTTTCCCACTTGAGCGTGACCATACTGCATGACGATGACTTGGTCGTAGTCCATCACAGTGTTTATCCTGTGTGCTATCTTGAGCACTGTGCAGTCTTTGAGCCGTTCTTCTAGAACTTTCTCCACTCTTTTCTCAGTTTCGCCGTCCAACTGAGCTGTGCATTCGTCTAAAATGACAATTTTCGTTCTACTTAGCAGACCGCGCGCTAGGCCTATTAGCTGTTTAGCTCCCTCGTTTCGAAACTTCTCGCAGTCAAAGTTCCAGAGAGCGTCGCCGGATTTGTTGCGCAATTCAGGCCAGTCTAGAATGCCGAGTTCTTCTAGAATCGGCCGCATTTGCTCACGTGTGTGTTCTTGTAGAGGATCAAGATTGTATTCGAGGGTGTCTTTGAACAGCAGCACATTCTGCGGTATAACTGTGAGAGCCTTGCGCAGCTGAAATTAAAAAAAACTAGCTACTATATCACTTCACAATCCCCACCCCCTGTGGTATTTACTAACCCGGATCGAGGTGCTTCATTTGGTATTCACACATTTCGCCCCCTCATAAATGACCGGCACATTTCGCCCCTAAAGTGTACATTAAGAAAGCGCCGTTGACTAACTGTGTAATAAGTTAGGGGCGAAACGAGCGAGGACAAAATGTTTGAAATTATTAGGGGCGAAATGCGCCACTAGATTTAAGAGGGGGCGAAATGTGTGTGGGGCGAAACGTGGGACATTCGATCTGGCGCTACAAAAGTTTCGACTTTCTCGACCGACTTTTTCTAATATTTGTTCGACCCGGGATAGATATACTTCAATTTTCTCGACCCAAAAAGGGTGTTTCGACTCTCTTGACCAAAATCGGGTATTTTGCGACTATGTGCTTGACTTAAAGCTGCTCTTCGACTGCGGAACTTCAGTCGCAATACTGCACCTGCTCGATTTTCAAAGTCAAAACATAACTTGAACTTCCCGACCCGGGAAAGAATTGCCACCCCCTATAAGTGAAAGCAGTAAACTATCACTGCAGCGTTCTATACATAATTCGAGTTTTTGGTATGCTGATTGGTTGAAATGGGGAGGGGGGGGGGGGGGGGGGGAATTGATAAGTGGATCCCAACTACTTCCATAACGAAACGACCCACGTTTTTGTGTTCAGTTTCAGATATGGGTAATTAGCAGCCTGTTTTTGATCCGTTTACACTCAGAATCTGAGGATCTGGATATCGAATCATGTAGTTGGCTAATTTTTGTTCCGACAATTGAAAATGGGGAAGAGCTGTTTATTCGGGTGTGTTTTAGATGTTTTGTTCATTTTTTAAGCTAGAGTTTCATACAAAATCGGGTGCTATAAAAATTATGAGAATGGATCAATTGATATATCATATTAATTCAATTTCAGTTTTGAATAGAACGAAATTAAGAAATTCACAAAAAAAATTGTCCCAAAGCTGAGTAAAAGCGGTTTGAAAATTTGGAGTTTTTAACTGTTTTCTTGCGAGTAAAGCGATCAAGTATCGTTCGATATATATAAAAACTTGTCATTGAGGCTGAAATTTTTTTTGGTTTTCTAAGAAGAAAAATAGTTTTTGAAGCTTCATTGAGCGCTTCTTTGGCATGAAAACTTTCGAAAGAAAACCTAATCCTGCAAAATAAATCAGAGAAAATTCGAGAAAACTTTATGCTTGATGTGTTTTTTTTCAATCAATTTTTGATTTTTTCAATAAGTGTTTTAAACAAATTTTTTTATACCATCTTAAGTGCATTGTTGTTCTCAGCTCAAATTCTAAAAGAACTTTACCTAAGATCATTTTTTGTAAAATTATGGGGGTTTGAAAATTCTTATTTTAACCAATTTGACATAATTACCGCGCGATAGTTTGCGTTCTTACAACACAATTAAGCGGCGTATTAATGTATCTAAATTGAATTTAGGCAAGTCATTTGGTCGTTTTATTAGGATACATCGAGTAATTCGTCTTTTTGTAGTTTACATTAGCGTGTGGGGGCCCAGGTTGACCAAAAGTCGCTGTCTTATAGTTTTTCTAATAAGAATCTTACTAGACTCTTAGGCTCTAAGAAGGTTACAAGAAAGGGACTTTGTCTTATGAAAACATTGTAAGATACGAGCTTTTCCTACAAAATTTTTTTTCATGTTGAAGTGTGAAAATGTTTATGTAAAGAAAAAGAATAGTCGTTAACTTGAATTGTAGCAACTGTTAGGCATTAAATCGAAATCTTACTGCACTGTTTTATTTCAGATCAGATCGGACGTTGGAGATCGCAAGGTCACGACAGTAGGTCTCCAGACAGAAAGAAAACAATTGATAGCACTTACATAAACTTAAACTGGTCTCTATCTCATTCGGGCAACCACAAATAAATTTTAACTTGTATAAAATTTATCAACTCGTATTTGCTATTGTTTTAGTTTCATGTTACAAAACAGTTTCAGTTTAACTTGAGTTTTCAGGCAGACTTGCCAAACCTCTCTTAAGGTTTTCTTCGCTCTATGTCATGTTACTTGTGTTGTATGCGATGAATCATGACACCTCCCATTTTGTCAACGCCTCGTCGCTGTCGCGTTGATTTTCTTGTCCCCGCCGCGCCTTGCTTCCGATTTCCACTGACGGTTTTCGGCGTTCGCTCCTTATCCGTTTCCGACGGTTCAATTGCTCCCCCGCTCGCCGCAGTCTTTGCCGCCTCGTCCGCTTCAACTGTCCAATCGCTGTCTTCATCCTCCTCGCTCTCGTCCTCGCTATATTCCACGACCCGCTGTTTCACTGATTTTTTCGCCTTTCCCATCGCGATTTGTTCCTTATCAGCCTTTCTTTTAAATTTTGTGGGTTCAATAGGACCCGGGGTGCTCTTTGCGGGCTCACTTGGACCCGGGGTGCTCTTTGCGGGCTCACTTGGACCCGGGGTGCTCTTTAGGTACTTGCTAGGACCCGGGGGGCACGCGTCGTTTATATCCGTGATTTGGCTTTCTTCAGCCGCCGATTTACAAGAAACACCACTCCGCCTTAGTAACGACCCTTTTTCCATTTTCACCTTATGATCAGTTAATTTTTCGATTTTTAATGGTAAACGTTTATACCTTCTTGGATCCTTTGGGTCTGTTTTCCCTGTCTTTTGATAGACTGTTGTGGTGCTAGTCTTATGCCGTTTTAGCCATCCTGGTGGCTTTGGTACTTGATCTGCTACCTCCGTGACCTTGGGGTCCATTTCATTTATCTCCTCATCGTCCAAAATCATCGGGGTTTTTCTCTGCTCTGGTGCGTATACTAGGTCGCTCCTCTTCTCCCAATCTAGGGTCAGCTCCACCTCCGGGAGATTACTCGCCTTGTCTAAACAAGATAGCTTCTGATTAACAACATTGTCCCAATTTAGGTTTTTCAAAGATGGTTTTTTCGTTAAGTTTCGAAACGCCGTCTTTGCTTCTCTTCCACGATATGCCTCAAAGGTGGTTAGCTTAGTTTTAGAATGTGGCACAAAACGTAATGCGCTGAGCGCACGAGATATCATTACCCCAAACTTGTAAATTTGATTTTCCTGGAGATAAGTGAGCACGTAATTTTTTATCGACCCAATTGTTCGTTCGACCATTCCCGTTGCGCGATGATCCTTAACTGGAGATTTGATTAGTTCAATACCTTCATAGTTACAGAAACTTTGAATGTCATTCGAGAAAAACCCCGTTGCCTGATCCATATGCAATTTCCTTGGGTGTCCATAAGTATTTATGTACTTCCTTAGGAACTTCAATACATTCTTAGACTTGTTACTTGAACAGACATACGCCGACGGCCAATGCGAAAAAGTGTCTACTGCTACAAGTACATACTTCTTCCGACCCCTTAAGTAATTGACCGGGCCCCAGAAATCTAATTGGACCAAATCATTTGGTTCCTTAGGCACATAAGTTTCCCCCATGTCACTTTTTGGAATATCTGGTTTAAGATTCTTACCTGCTTCTAAGCAGCTTTTACAGTACTTTGCTGTTGCGGCAATGTTTCGGTGCATTAAGGGTATCCACACATCCTTTGCGGCTGCGAACATCTTGTCTCGTCCATGGTGCTGAAAGTGTAAGCAGTTGAGCACTGCTGAAGACATGTCCTTCGGTATGGCCAACCGGCCATCCATCCACAGGCAATTTTCTTGTACCGCAAAGTCATTATAGTGTTGGGCGTAATATGGTCCTAATCTTGTGATGATTTCTTTGGCTCTTGGGTTTCTGTCTTTGATTGCATCGCGAATGGTCTTCATAATGGGGTCCTTCTCCAGATTTGCCTCGACTAACTTTAAACTCAGAATCTCCGGATGATCTAATTTCCTGACATATTTACTATCTGACGGTACTATAGAGTGTAAATCCATCTATCGCTCTGCACTAGTGGGTAGGATAATCCGGGAAACTGATGAGGGAATGAAATTATAGTATTTGATTTTTTCGAATTTGTTTGTTTCTGGGCAATAATTTCAGGCCGTATTAATTCAATATCCGAGTCCGAACTGACGGAACTAACACTGGGTGGTTGATTTAACCGATTAAGCACAACATTAAGGTTAACATCTCCAGAGTGGGTTGATGTATTGACAATGGCGGAAGTTAGTTGATCATGTTTTTCAGTTGAATTTATTGTGTTTTTACTACTCATGTTACTCATATTTTGGATTTCGCGACTTGAATTTACGTATTGAGAACAACGTCTGAATTTCTTTCTTCGACCTTTGCATATTTCCGCCGGTATGCAAATCTCTTGATTCTGATTGGTTAACCGCCAGTTGCATGCAAACACGCCTTCTAGTGAGCGTTTACTCTCACAGTGAGTATTTGCATACTCAGTTGTTCTTATATTCCCATTGGATGCGACGGTTTTCGTTATAGTAGAACATGACTGATAGCCCTCTACCGCCGGTATTGATTTTATGTGTTTCACATTTTGACCCCTAGGCTTCATTTGAACCTTAGGATTTAGTGCTTTGCTTCGCTTATCATTTTTATTTTTGCTACTATAAAAGTTTCATCGTAACGACTGGTCTCGGGTGCCTCTGCGGATAGAAACCGGGAAAAATAGCCTGCCATTCCCATTTTGGACCCCTGTCTGTGTTCAACTTTAAAATTGTACGGCACTAAACGATCGTACTAACGCGTTAGTCGGCTGAAAAACGTTTTATTTCCTTTCGGAGATGAATTTAACAACGTAAGCAGCGCCTTGTGATCCGAAATAACTGTGAAATAACGGCCATATATGTAATTCCGAAAATGTTCCGTAGCCCACACTACTGCCAGTAATTCTAATTCGTTTGTAGAGTACGCCTCTAGGCCATCATGACTAGCATCACATATAATCCTTGTTTCCCGGTGAATATCGAAATGTCTTAGTTCAACAATGCTTTTGACAAGCGATTTTAATTGTTGGAACGCATCTTCGCGAGTAGGCGTCCAAAAAAAATCGTTGTTCTGACTTAGTAATGGTCTTAGCGGTGCGCTTACTTCCGCGAGATTAGGCAAAAATTTATGCAAACTGTGCATTGAACCCATTAGCGACTTTAATTGCTTTCTGGATTTTGGGGTTTTCAGATCCTCCACCGCTTGTGTTTTTCTGAGGGGGGGGGGGCACTTTCCCCAATTCTATACCCGAGCCACTCGCACTCGGTTTTCGCAAATTCACATTTTCGTAATTTTAACGCAACATTAGAAACGTCCAGCTTTTTCAATACTTTTTCCACTAACGCAATATGCTCAATCTTAGTTCCTTTAGAGGCAATTAAAATACCATCGATGAACGCGTTAGCCTGAGGGAATTCCTTAAGTAAGTTGTCAATCACTTTTTGAAATTCCGCCGGCATCGACGTAAGACCGTAAAATCCGTTCTTAAAACGTTCCCGTGGACTTCCCGCCAATCAGTGAAAAATTGCACTGCTCGCTTGTCTCCTTTTCTAGAGAGACCTGTCCGTACGCATAAGTGAAATCCAACGTTGTAAAATATACGTTCCCCGCCTTTCTTTCAGCAATTATCTGACTTATTCCGTCTACTAGTTCGTCAATGTTCGGCATTTGGTACTTATTCTTGTGTACCTGTTTGTTCAGTTCTCTTGAATCCAATGCTAGTTTGATACTTTCGTCTTTTTTACCGTGATTATTATAGGAGAGACGAAATACTTATCCGAACACTCCTGTAATTTTACGATGCGACCTTCGTTTATCAGCATATTAATTTCCTTGTCTAGTTTATCTTGTAGACTGATAGGCACCCGGCGCCCTTTTTGTTTTATAGGTTTTAAGTTTTCGAAGAAATCGGCTCTTACTTTAGCGTTCCGGACTTTCCCTATTCTAGTAAATAAATTTGGGTACAACTTACAGAAATAGGTTTGCAATTCATCGTATTCCTCCTCTTCTTGGCAGCTCCCTTTCCCTGTTATTCCCATTATTTTCTTGCTTTGCACCAACTCCAGACCTAAGGTGCCCATTAGATCACGCCCCAGGATTGACTGATGATTACCGGAGATTACTGACACTTATGCTGGAGCTGCCCACCCATTCAAAGACATTGTCACCGCTACTTTTCCCAGTATGTTTATCCGATTGTTGTTGTAGTCCAAAAATTCATCTTTCGAAGGTTGTAGTTGAATATTCGCTTTACCTAATGTTGTTTTTAGATCCGTAATGCTGAATATTGTTACTGGGGATCCGCTATCTATCCACAACCACATTTTCTTTCTCGACACCTCAACCTGGACTCTGGCCCCAGGGATCTTCAATTCGGTCACATTTCTCTTCCTCTTGATTGACATCACCATGTAGTCGTCGGATCCCGATTTGACTGAATCATTATCCCCCCTTCCCTGCTGATTCACCCATGCCACTGGATCTTCTGCTCCCTCACTCACACTCTGCATGCTTTGATGATGCTCATTTTCATCGCGGACTAAACCAACTCGTCCTCGTCCTCTCCATTGGTTAGTATCCCTTCGGATTCCTCTACATGTTCGTTCAAAATGTCCCAGTTTTCGGCACGAGTTATATGTGGCTCTTTTCGCAGGGCAGTTGGCAATATGCTCAAGAGTAAAATTCGGTGCGTCACAATTATAGCACCTACGGTTATTTCCACTCCCTCCACTACTTGATCCTTGGGAGTATCCTCCACGTGCCCCGCGTCCTCGACCTCGGAAAAATCCTTGTCCCCTCCTTATGTTATTAACTGGTTGTTATTTAATAGATATCGACGGCGCTGATGAAGCCGGTTTTCCCGTGTATGATTTATATGCACGCTCCCCATGTTCGTAAGATTTTGCGATCCTGTAAACTTCCTCGGGTAGCTTTGTTGATCATGATAATTCTCGTTGACAGTCCGATTCCCGCATGTTCATAATGAAAATGTCCCGAACGTTTTCCGCTGCATTAGCAAAATCGCATCTACCCGCTAGGGCGCTCAATTCCGCGTGGAATTTCTCAAAGAGTTCGTTCTCCCTCTGTTTTCTTCCATAGAAGAGTTCCCGCTCATGGGTTACATTCCGCTGACGTTGGAACACATTTTCCATCTCGTCAAGTACCCGTGGGTAACGTTCCGTTTTTATATTCAACCCCGGCTTTCTTGCTTTGAAAATTCTCTGCCCTTCATCCCCAATACAGAGATAAAGATTAGACTTTAGCTTCTTTTCCGACTCGGTACGGTTCTTCCCATTTACGTCATCCGGCAACGCTGCAATAGCCGTTGCTTTTAAAGTGCGTGCAAAATAAAAATCATCGGGATCAGTATCATATTTTGCTATCATACCCCAGTGAAATTTTACAATCCATTCCTCCCAGTAGATTGGGGGTTCGGGTGTTCGTGCGTCCCAAAATGACTGAATGTTCAGTGGATTTTCCCCTTCCTTTTTTCTCTGCTGGCTGCGCCATGTTGAAGTGTGAAAATGTTTATGTAAAGAAAAAGAATAGTTGTTAGCTTGAATTGTAGCAACTGTTAGGCATTAAATCGAAATCTTACTGCACTGTTTTATTTCAGATCAGATCGGACGTTGGAGATCGCAAGGTCACGACAGCAGGTCTCCAGACAGAAAGAAAACAATTGATAGCATTTACATAAACTTAAACTGGTCCCTATCTCATTCAATTTTTTTTTCTTTTTTTTTCAAACCTATTCGAACCGCTAATTACGTATAACTAGGAGGTTTATTGAATTAAAAACACATTTTTTTTGTTCCAGAATTTTTTGTTCGAATGCCTACAAAAATAAACATTATCTAGAAATTTTTACTTTGATAATTTAATTTTAAAAAAATCATTTTTTATCTGTTATTTTTGAATGGAAACAATTTCAAATTGTTTTTAGCAATAGTTTCGAATTTCGGGATAAAGTTCCTATCGTAGAACATTTTTATAGAAAAATTTGTAAGGCAGGGGAAAAATTGTAAGGCATGGGAAATTTTTATAGAAAATTTGTAAGGCAGGGGAAATTGTAAGGCATGGGAAATGCCTACAAAAGTAAACATTATCTAGAAATTTTTACTTTGATAATTTAATTTTAAAAAAAAATCATTTTTTATTTGTTATTATTGAATAGAAACAATTTCAAATTGTTTTTAGCAATAGTTTCGAATTTCGGGATAAAGTTCCTATCGTAGAACATTTTTATAGAAAAATTGTAAGGCAGGGGAAATTTTAAGGCAGGGGAAATATCTTACAAAACTTATAAAAATTGCTATAAGTTTATAAAAGGTTGTATGATAGTTCACCTGGAGGATAAATTGAATAAAGGTGACCTTAAAGTTGACTTTAAAGTTGACCTTAAATTGCTGTCGGAACTTTCAGGGCCTCGTCTTTATATACGAGCAGCCTTTTTTGTTGTTATTTTTTTTGAAGACAATTGTTTTCGATTATCAGCCGTATTCATTAACTTTCTACTCGTTCGCTTAGTTTCCTCATCACACCGCGCCTAAAAAACTATAATGATTTGATGAGAAAGACCTTTGATGGTTGTTTTATAATGTGATGGAACAATTTGGGCTACTTGCACAGCAAGCGGCTATGTCCTTGTTATTATTTTTCCATTTTTCTTCCCAGGCGTATTTTTTTATTTTGTTGTATTTTAAAAACTTTTACCCTGTTGTTTTGTCGTCTGGTAGTTGAAGCATCCCCTGTGTTCTATGGTTTTTGTTACCAGTTTGTATAGCGAGTTTGACTGGATAATTTACTAATTTTAAACGTAAAAATTACTCATCACTTTTCTACGTCACGAGCTCGTTAACTCCTATATTTTTTGCTTCAGAAAATATGCGTTTGGATATACAAAAACTTGTTCGACAACCCAATTGATATAAAACTTACTCTGTGCAGCGGAACAGATCGAATGTCGACGCCGTCAATCATAATTTTGGAGTCATCGTGCAGATAAATGAGTCGGAACAAAGCGAGAATGAGAGAAGATTTGCCGGAGTTTGACCTGCCGACTATGGCTGTTTTCAGCTGTGGTTTCAAGTCCACTGTGAGGCCATTGACGACGAACGTGTTCTCATGTTCGTCCAGTTCGGCTAACCGAGTTTCGTTCAGTTGAGTCTGTTGCTGTTGTGACTTTGATCTGTGCCCGTATCTGATGGGCGAGTAGCTGGCCTTGACCTTGCGCATGTTTATGATTCCAGTTGTGGGCCAATTGTCCATCAAACGATTCACAACATTTTCAGAGGCCTGAGATAGAAGAGGATCAATCAATCACACCTTTTCACATAATTTTTTTAAATATATGTAGAACCTGTCCATATGTAAATGCAGGCGCGGATCTAGGAAAATTTTTGTCGACTTTTTTTTTTAGGTCAACCACACTGATTTTCTGAGCTCTTACAAACCACTGTAAAGAACTTAATTTGACCAAATTTTCTGCGTCGCAGGCAAATTTTTGAAATAAAGGCCAAAAAAACGCGGTTTTAGGCACTTTTTGGAAAACTTCGACCAAAAAATCGCTTTTTTCGGCGCGCGCTTTCCCCTTAAAATTAGTATAGATTGGCGCCAAAGGCGCTTTTAGGAAAATTGTAAGATCAGTCAGCCGAAAATGAATATCTCGAAATAGTACAAAGGGGGGAACCTTTGGGTCGGCAGTGGGTCGAAGCCCTGAGGGGGAAGGGGGAAGCGTCCGCCACCCCCCGCCCGCCCTAAATCCGCTACTGTAAATGTACTGAATCCTGAGAAAAAAGTACGTTTCCCTCTAGAAATGGAAAGAACTCATCTATTGGTGGTAATTTATTTTTTTTTCACTCTAGCCAAGTTTGGCAAATAATCCTCGAACTTCAAAAACAATCAGATGCGTCTGCATACGACGAAGCAAAGTTTATCAAACGCTTCTTTTCTTGTAGTCACACTCTCTATAGATGCTATGTGAGTCATGAGTGTTGTAGCCTCACAGTGCCTTAATTACCTTGGGACTCCTATTAGTCTCACTGTAGCCGCCCTTCTCCTGCTTGAGTCTCATGAACTCCCTCAAGTTCTCCACCCTCGCTGTCTCCGCCTCAACGTCGCCGAGACAGTTGACGAAAGCGAACAGGGCGAAGTTCATCTGGAGAGCCATGTTCACCACTATTCCTATCAAGCCCACGTCCTGTGCCCCGTCTCGTTGCAACACACAGTAGATGCTGGCCCCTGCTATCAACAGATTACCCAGCGTGTGCAGCCGCAAAATCAGCCACTTCTGGGCCGCGAAAATGTAGTAGGCTATTTTCAGGTCTTTATCCAGTCGGTCGCGGAAGAGAGCACAGCTCTGAGACTGGAGGTTGAATGTTCGGATCTGGACAAGCATGGCTGTCGTCTTCTGGTAGATCCCAATCAGAGCCACTTCCGTCAACTCTTGCTTGATTCGCATGAGTTGTTTGCGCACTCGTGCGTAGAGGCGCTCGATGAAAATGTAAACGGCGAACATGATTAGGATGACTATTGAGAAGTAGGGAATGTTGTAGATTATGATTAGACCCAAAGCCACCAACTAAGATAGGCAGAAACATGATTCAGGTTCAGTTATGGTAATTTATGTATGTAGCATTTTGTCTGAAATTGTACCTGGTAAAATGCGGCCAAGCTGAAGAACACTTTGAACCCAAATACTTCTACCTTAAACGAATTATTAACCACATAGTTCTTGTTAAAAACGTATTTCTTTCAAAAGAATCGGCTTGAATTGTTCCATGATGTTTACTCGCTGTCTGAAAAGCACTATAGAAGAAGAAGAAGAATTTATTTCTCATTGTTAATGGTAGATATGCACAGATAAAAATTTCAGCATAAAGGACCAGAAACAGTGAGGGGACAGTTAACGAACCCGTTGTATCAAATGAAATTAAAAATTTAAAGCAAGTGAAAAAATAATCATAATAATTGAAAACATAGAAGAAAATATTAAGAAAAAAATTAAAGTTTGAATAAACTTAATGCAGCAGATTAGTGGCAGTATATAGACAGGTTAATGACATAGGGTCCGAGCTCTGCGTCAATATTTAAAAACATTGCTCAGTCTAAACCAGATAGACGTTCGAAATTCATATCCCATATTTTCTTAAGCTATTCGTAGGCGCCTCACTCGGTTTCAAAAGAAAATCTTGAACTTGTTCACTTTATGGTTACTGCTTCTACATGCTGTGTCCCATCCCTTGAAGCCTCCTTAACACTTAACATCAGTAGAACTGATTGCGGGCTAAACGTTCAGTAGACACACAACTGAGCTCATGCGGCAGTAACCAACGAGCAAGCCGCAGTGTGGTTTGCAAAACGCCGAAGACTGTGTGAAAATTATATAAAATTATTCAACCTATTCAAAACAAGCAGGCACTTCAAATCTGTCATTTGCCCACACTATCCTTGTCTTTAGGCAAAATATATCAACAATACATAAAATTGATCAGCATTTCATTGCTTAATATAAAAAAATCACGAAATTCAATAGCGAGGGGTTGAATATCTGAATTAAAATTTTGATAAAAACTTTTGGAATCGATAAGTTTTGTCTAAAAAAAAAACAAATGAGCATAGCTCATCCTAACTAAATGAAATTCTTGGAATTTTGTTTTTGAAAATAGAAAATTTCATCAAACTTAAATTTGATCTTCTGGTCATATACGACAGTATTTGAAATACAAAAAACTCACTCAAAAATTTTTCATAATGTAATGCTGCTAACGTTCTGATACCAACCTGAGGAGTTCAAACTCATCCGGCTTGTGGTTTGGTAAAAATTTTTCTTTTCAAAAGTTTTGTTGAATGCTTTCATTTTGCTTTTGAAAAAAAAACAATCGAATAATTTTCTTTTCGATTATTGTGATGACAAAACGTTTGCGTAGAAAGTGCACCATGAGTCAATATTCACTATTGCAAAATAGCTTGATGTTAGAGCGATAATTTTCAATCAAAACGGTTTTGGGAACAATAACGCAGTTTTGAAACAGTTCCAAGTTGTTTTTTAAGCCTATTTCGTGTGAAATTAACATGAGAAATGAATGACAAATTAGCATCTATGTCAACACCAAGATATTTGAATGACCCTTCATTATATAAAAGTATACTATTGGTGTACAATTGCTGGTTGGAAGTTTGGTTTAGAGTTACACTAACTTGTTCCGTTTTGTCCTTATTTAGACCAATTAAGGATAATTTACCAATTTTTTATAGCTTCTAAGTCTTGGTTAAAACTCTCAATCGAGCAGTTTACTCCAGTGATGTTTTTGTCGCTGGTAAATAAAAAACTTCGCTAAATTTGCAGAATTCTGGAGTTTCTTCAATTCATATCTAAAAAAAGCAGAGGCCCCGAAATGTTCCAGATTTTGCTTTGATAGCTTTTCACCAATTTCGACAGCTTTTTTGCGGTCCATCGGTTAAATTACAAACAAAGTTTTTCCAACTACAGTATACATTTCTAAATTATGAAAACGAATCTCGTAATCCAGTGTGTCAAAAGCTTTTTAAAATCAAGAAAATTTGTTCTCTTGGGTGATTCAGTTTTGTCTAAGCAATATTCATCTGTTAATTCAGCAATAGCATTATTAGTACTGTGTTAATGTTTAGAAAACTAAACTCATTGTCAAAAACATCATTGGTTTGAAATATATATGTGCAGTTAATAAGTTCTTTTAGGGTTATTTTTCTAGAAGAATAACAGTTTGGGTTCAATCGAAATTTGGCGAAAAACAGTTTG